AAAAAAAAAAAAAAGTGTGCGTGATGGGCAAATGTGCATTCCATAAATGCTATGCTAATGAGCTTGACATCAATACCTAAAATTATCTTTCAAAGGACTGTTTGTGAACATTTCACAGAAAAGGCCTCGGTGGTTCCTCAGGTTCAAAATGGATTTAACAACAGGTTATTTAAAACCAAGCAAATTTCATGCTCTGAAATTTTTTTGGACTTTCAGATCAGGAAAATGCTACAGGTTTAGCATATTTGAATTTTTTTTAAGTAGACTCCAGGCCCAGCATGGAGTCCAATGTGGGGCTTGAACTCATGACCCTGAGATCAAGATCTGAACAGAGATCAAGACCCAGACACTTAACCAACAGAGTCATCCGGCCGCCCCTGGCATATGTGGATTTTAAAAAGGATCTCATGAAGCCCTGCAAGGCCCTAAGATTCCTTTTCCGATTCATCTTTGAAGACTCATATACAAATTTAACCCCTCCTATACAGTCTTCTCTAATCTCAGACGGTGGAAGAGGAGGATACTATGACTGAAGCCATTTGCATTTTAAGTTAATCGCTTTATATCTTCTCCCTTACAAGACCACACATTGGAGAAAAGTAGGGGTCACAAGGTAGTCATTTTTGATTCCTAAACCTTGTTCTCTGACACGCAAAAGGTCTTGCCTGCATGTTTGCTGAAAGACCGTATGAGTGGATAGTAGTCTTGGGATCCCTTAAGACTAATATCCCACTCATACGGTTCAGCAAACATGCAGGCAAAGACCTTAAGGTCAGAGAAATCAAGGTTTAGGAATCAAAATGACTACCTTAGACCCCTACTTTCTCCAATGTGTGGTCTTGTAAGGAGAAGATGATTAACTTAAATGCAAATGGCTTGAACATAGTATCCTCCTTCCACCGCCTGAGATTAGAGAAGACTGTATAGGAGGGGTTAAATTTGTATATGAGTCTTCAAAGATGAATCGAAAAGGAATCTTAGGGAATTCTTGCAGGCTTCATGAGATCCTTTAAAATCCACATATTAGGGAAGGCCGGATGACTCTGGGTTGGCTAAGTGTCTGGGTCTTGATCTCTGTTCAGGAGTCTTTATCTCAGGGTCATGAGTCTAAGCTCAGACCCATGCTGGCCTGAGTCTACTTAAAAAATAAATTCAAATATGCTAAACCTAGGCATTTTCTGATCTGAAAGTCCAAAAAAAGCAAATTTCAGAGCATGAAATTTTGTTTGGTTTTAATAACCTGTTGTTAAATCCATTTTGAACCTGAGGAACCACTGAAGCCTTTTCTGTGAAATGTTCAAACAGTCCTTTGAAAAGATGGTATTGATGTCAAGCTTCCATTATATAGACTTATGGAATGCACATTTGTCACGCGACACACTTTTTTTTTTTTTTTTTAACCTAGTGACTTTTGGTACTTTCTTGCTGTTCTATTTACTGAAGGCAGTACATTTTTGCCATATTATAGGACTTGGTTCTAAAATGTGATTTTTTTTTTAAATTTTTTTCAACGCTTATTTATTTTTGGGACAGAGAGACAGAGCATGAACGGGGGGGAGGGGCAGAGAGAGGGAGACATGAATTTGAACAGGCTCCTGAGCCATCAGCCCAGAGCCCAAACGCTGGGCTCAACTCACACCGAGATCGCGGACCTTGGCTGAAGTCGGACGCTTAACCGACTGTGCCACCTAGCTCTAAAAATGTGATTTTAATTGCGGTAGCATATAGGTATGTTTTTTTAATTTTTTTTCAACGTTTTTATTTATTTTTGGGACAGAGAGAGACAGAGCATGAACGGGAGGGGCAGAGAGAGAGGGAGACACAGAATCGGAAACACTCCAGGCTCTAAGCCATCAGCCCAGAGCTCGATGCGGGCTCAACTCAATGACCGTGAGATCGCGGACCTGGCTGAAGTCGGACGCTAACCGAATAAAATTACCCAGGCTTCCTATAGGTATGTCTTTATTGCTGACTACTGGACACGGACTTACTTGGTATCAGATTCTTATCATGTATTAACTCATTATGACATTATGCCTAAAAGAAAATTATTAGCTACTTGAGCACAACACTTTAAAAAAAGTGATTTTACGCCTGGGTGGCGTGAAGCGTCATTAAGCGCCCGACCAGCCAGGTCATTTTATTCACAAGAGGAGTTCGAAAGCTCATGTCAGTTTGCTGATGGCTTCAGAGCCTGGAGCCTGTTTCCTTTATTCTGTGTCCTCTTCTTCTGCC